TTAAACAACAAACAAACAAAATATCTGACAAACAATCAGACTTTAACAAATCCTCCTAGATAAAACACAATCTATTTTATATAGTTAATCATGCATAAATAATAAAACAAAATATATATTATACTTCGTCTCAGGGACGCAAGCTAGAACCTCATAAAATGAAAATATGCAGTGAATAGTCCTGAATAAATAAATATACTATAAACACAGTTGCACCACCATTTTTGAAATACATGCATTAGAAATACGACAAAATATTATACATTACGTAGACACATGATTGGTATAGATTGAATAAAATGTGTATTCACGAGGTTCTGAAATAATGCAGAAAACAGGTGTTATTCAATAATACCATACTAAGTAAGTATTTTACACATCTTTCACATATTAATGTTTTACTGTTTTAATTCGTTCATAGCAACACTAGCCTTATATTCTGTATGGCATTTTCACTACAGGCACCTGAAACGCCTGTAAAATATTACTCCAATAACCCTGCGGTTTACCATATAAAACACCGAGATGAAGTGCTTGTAAAATATGATCATCCAGATAGTCAAGTCACTGCAGTCATGTCCATTATCAGAAAGTGGGTAACAGGTTACAACTGACACTTCACGCTCTGAAGCGTATAATACTTACTGAAAACACATCATCTCCTATCCTATCTCAAAATAAATCCAGAATATCACTTTATGGCAACTGGAATGCGCAACCATGATTTTACACCCATACAAATTAATGCTTTGCATTAATGAACTCGTTTGCATCACTGAATGTAATTCCAATCAAATGAACATTCAGCAAATAATATAGACTGACAAATACTAAATTATTGTTCGCAAGGTGATTTTTGCAATCTGTCGTCATTTGTAGACATTTGCACATGCTATTGTTATTTCTAAATGCTACAAGCATCAAGGTGATCCTATAGGAATAACATTCTAGAGCATAGACACTAATGGAATTAATCAATTGGGATTGTAAATTCATCATTGATACATATACATATATCACTTGTATTCATTCTTATAAACATTTTACAGAATGTTTACAGAAGGCTTATACCCAAGTCAATCACAAAAGTGAGTTGAATCAAAACTTGATTCAGCATTGCGTTTGCTCAGATCTTTAATGTAGGTGGTCTTACATTGTCTACCTTGTGGAGAATCTATTCCAAATTCCATGTCGACAGGCATTCGTGGTTGACTGTCAAACATAACAAATCAAAGGACTTTCTCCACCTGATTCATGTCATGATGAATTGTAGGCATGAGCAAGTGGTGTTATATATGACTTCCAGTTGGTCTTCTGGCATATCTGCCAAAAAACTAACATCCTTCTTTCTATTCCGGCCAGCTAGCACAGTTCATTGATAAGGTTACTTTCAAGGATGACCCCTTGATCTGCATGTAGTCTTTGGGGAAAACCATAGAGTATTAAAAAGTTGTTGAATAGGACGTTTGCAGTTGTCTTAATAGTAGGGCCCATTGCTGGTGTCCCCCGCTGTGATATTACTGGAATAGTGCTAAAAGCGGCGTAAAACCTTATTCACTCACTCACTCACTTAACAGTAGGGTAGGCTTGAGCATATCCTGTAAAATGATCTGTCAGAACAAGAATATATTGATATCCTCCATTTGACCTCTCTGATGTGAGGACGAAAGAAAGGGGCTGGCTGGTAAGGATGGAGAGGAGAGTAGCTTGACCTTCTGTTAGTGTTCTTCTGAAGCATCTATGACAGTTTTTGATCCAATAATCCACATCTTTAGCCATTCCAGGCCATTAGAAACTGAGAGTCTGATCTTCAATCTCATCATGAAGTCGACTTAATGCTCTCCTGATGAATTCTGCACGGAGAACTAGTTGCCTCTTTTCTCCTCCACCCATGTCCGTTGTAGTTAGAGGCGACTGATTTCTCGGATAATACCTGCAGGAATATCCTCTGATATCTTGTTGTGATGTAATCCGGCAAAGACTCTGGGAAGTACTGGATCCCTGTGTATTGTGCATTCCCCCAATACCTTAGAGTGAAACAAGTTATGTTGTTCCTGTGTCCAACGTCTGCAATAAGTTCATCTGCGAAGCATAAGCTCTCGATGTAGTTGGATGTCTGACAAGTATTGCAGATCACCTTTACAGATGTAGCAGCCATCGTCTCTGTCTCGTCTTCTTGTGACAACCTGAAGATCATATCAGCATCTGCGTTACATTTACCTGAACTATACTTACTATTAAAGTTGAATGAAGAAAGAGCAACAATCCACCTGTGACTCGTAGTATCCAGTTTTGGTGTACTTAAGACGTATTTGAAAGGTTGTTGTCCGTTAGTACAGTTAACTGATTTCTGTAGAGGTGGTCGTAGTCAATCACTGCCCATTTAAATTCCAGGAACTCCAACTTGTGTGATGGACAGTTCTTCTCTGCTTTATTGCTTTATTGGCCGCTTTTAGCGATGACCCTCTTTTGTCCTTCTTTTTCTAGGTAGAGGATTGCACCTAATCTATGCGAATGTGGATCTGTGTGCACTTCAAAAGAAAGTCATAATTCGCATATCCAAGAATAGGTAGCTTTGACAAAGCGCAATTCAGTTGCAACACGGACAACATAAGAAGCCCATGGGCTATATTATAAGAACGCCTGATGATTCCACAAGCACGTAACTGTTGGAGATGGTCCTTCAACTCCTGAAACACAGATGGTGGTATGCGCCTATCTCTTTCCTTGATTGGCGTAGGGTCTGTCAATCCCTAATAAACAGTGTAGTGGCCAACATCTAAATCTCCTGTAGAAAACACGTCGCCGTATTTCTGAATTAGCTCTTCACTCAGCTTCTTGTGTTCCTCAGTTACCTTATGAGATATGTTCACCTTCTTCAGCTTGTGCTGTTTTACTTCAGTGGCAATCTGTTCCACGTTGATGGGTGCAACTTTCTAAATCTGGACTAATTGTATCTCGCAGATGATTGTCCTAGGAGAAGCAACTATGGTCTTGTTGGTCAGGTTTGACAATTGAAAAGGGACTTGTAGTGACCTCTAGTACTGACAGCAGAATAATGCAGGGGTTATCTCAAGCCCCGGTGATATGGATGTCTTCGTGGCCCTGGTGAAGCATGACACAAGTTTCTCTATAAGGCAGTTTCTTGTAGAGTGAACACGTGACTGTCTTGTTCTGTTTGGAGTTAAAAACGAGTGACACCTCACAGGTACACATAAGTCCCGGGGTCCCATCTTTCCTTGTAAGTCCCTTGTCCTGCAAACTAATACCTCGAGAGGCAAGATTCCAAGGTGTGTGCATTTTGCTCATTTGAAGAAAGTTAGGTCCTATTGCCTACCTGTAACTCTCAATAGCTGGGATAAGATAATAGTCTCCAGTAAAACCGGAACACGATTGATGTACGCACTGTCTGGGATGACGAACTATAAACAATTACTTTTGAGACCTGTAGATAACCAACTAGTTTCAACCGCAACATCCACATATCCCATATAAGGCAATGTCTCACCATTGACACATTCTTAATCTCTAACGATGGTATTGTTGCTACTTTCCGGGAAAGTTGACACTGATGTTTCTTACCAGAAAGGCCCAACGTTCTTCATTAGGATGACTTAACATCATTTCTAAAAGAGCTTTACACACAATACTAATATATCTATTTGGATCACACTTCAAGATTTTCATCCAATATTTAACAATTCTAACAAACCGCACACTTATCAATGGTAGTACCCCGAATTCACCATAAACATAAGCCTATTGTGTAGATAATTTAACAATTAATATCTTTTTAATAAACCTTTCAATTGCATAAGCCTCCCTAAAACCCCACACGTCACATTTATAACACAATATGGGTTGAATTAGTGTTTGAAATAACTGGTACTGGATATCAACAGAAATATACTTATAACTATTAATAACTCTATACAATGAAAATAAAGCTTTCATTGCCTGTTCAGATAAAGTTCTTTGACATTCTATAAAACTACCAGAGGGTGTAAACTAGGGCTGGGGCGAGTCCAAATTTACTACCCGGGTACCCACCACCCTATTACCCGACCATACCCGGGTACCCGTTGTAGATGAACACCATACCAATTGGATGAGCCAATTTACTAAAATAATCCACAAAATTACAGTAACCACTACTCTTACTGTTTCCCATAGAGGCGTTAATCTTTTTTCAAAATTGCTATACATTCGACTTACTAAGGCCAGCTAATAACTGCATCCTGTTTGTCCTTACGTCTACTAGAAATTCTTTTTGTTTATTAAACACACTAAACATCCCAAAACAAATATAAATGAATGTTGTTGAAAATTGTCTTCTACAAAAGTACCTGCGCAGAAATCTCATTTTTCAGGGGATACTTCGAACTAAAATGTCACGAAATGTTACTGCAGCTATCAGATATGACCAGGCTAACATTATTTACAAGAAAAAAAACATGAACAAAACTTGTATCTGAATACCTTTCGGAAACCTTCCGGATATCTTCAGTCTTCTTGGTAATTTTCAAAAATATTTTTTTATGTGTTTCACACTAAATTGAACAAAAAAGGTTGCCAGAATATTTCCAGGTAGGATTCAAAGAGGGAAAGTATCTGGAAGGTTTCCGGAAAACGAACATCTACACGTTTTTGCTATTTACAATAATTGTTCATATGTATAAGCTCCAGTGATCACTTAATCGGAGACTCCATAAACATACACTAGGTTCCATTGAATTCTAACATTGTTAAGGGCGAGATCAAAGGCGCGCCTTTTTTGATTAAACAACAGTTTGTGCCGTTGGTTGTCAAGCACCGACACATTTGGAACCATTCTGCGAGACGTATCCCATGTGCTTGTCAAGGATATTAACTCTGTCTACAAATGCAAACGTTAAGAATTCTCATCCAGATGGGATAGGAAGAAGCTCATCTCATGATAAAATCAACTCCAGGGAACCAAAGGTTACCCTGTTGCATGAAACTGTAAAGCCAGTCAACAGTCAATTTGTTAATACTATTAGTACAGTGAAGAGAACGATGCCGAGACTGATATTCATGAAGAGGAATAACCTCAGACACATGGCTTCAAGCGTGGCAGACACATCCTTCCAGGATGGATCCTCTGTGCTCACCTTGGCATTTACGTCACCCGCATGATCTTGATCTACAGCAGCAGTCTGCTTTACATTTGACGAATAACATTTCCAGAGAACAACCCATTTCTGCAGCACTTTGGGCACCTTTCCTTGACGCTTGTAGATCCTGAGAATGAGGATCATCATGGCCACAGAGAGGGAGCTTAGGGTGAGCAGAGCGGTCAGGTAGATGGTGAGGTAGGACGTCTGTCGGGACGTTTTTGGCATGTCTGTGGTCATCTGAGTCAGGAACACGCCGAAGGAGAGTAGAACCGTCATGGATAGAGCCACTTTGTCACCGTACTCTATTGGCAAAGCAAACACCAGGGAGCTGAGAAGAGATAGAAGCGTGATGGGGATTATCAGGTTGTAGACGTAATATGATGGTCGGCGTTTCAGGGTCAGTTCTACAATTAGTCGAGGGTACTGAAGTTCCTTTAGAAATGTTGTTATATTTCTTAATTGCCATAATCCATTCCCACCCGTAGTATAGGTATCCAATTGATGCGGAAGTGGTGTTAACTTAACTTTGTCCGAACTTGAAACCCAGGTTGATAGAACAAGATTGCAAATCTGAGTATCAAGCGGAAAATGGACAATATCAAAGTCGCACTGGCTCTTGAAGAGATCACCGTGGTCCCATTCTACTAATCCAGTGTGTTCCACGCATAAAGGTACTTGTTGGTGATTGAAAAGCTTCATTCCTGTGACGGAATTTAAGAGCATTAAATCAGGGGTCCAGATTGTTTGACTAGACAGATATATTTTCTCTGTACCATTGAAATCTGTAACGTTCCACTTTAAGGAATCATCAACCCACTGGAACGTGAACCATCCACTGGTGGAGAATGATTGTCGCCGTTCATCAAGTTCAACTATTTGGGATAGGGAAAAATATATTCCAATATCCAACACTTCATTTGTTTGAAAAACCTCTTGATTGTGGCTTTCAAGAAGGTGTTTTAAAAGTTCCCCTTGTCCAGCAAGCATCTTTCCGTGAATTTGTACGAGAACAATAGTGCCGAGAAAAATGCTCGTGAACACTTTCACAGCCATTTCCTCTGACTCGTCTCCCTTGTCTGAACAGTGGTGACTAGAAGCTTATAATAAAGGTGATCGATCGGTTTATGTAAGTCATGAAACACTTCCATTAACCCCCTGGATGCCACAGGGACATATGTATCCCTTCTCATCAACCCTCACATGGAAGTCGAATAAAATTTAAAATACATCATTCACACAATTTACAGTTGTGAATTCTGAAGCAAATTATCTGTTCTGTGATATGACGAACGAAGCAAATTTATTGAAAATGAATCAAATTACAAAAATAGGATATTAATGATCACGGGTATCTGTCATGTATTTAATCACCAAAGATCATTACGAAACGTCAACGTCGAGTGGTTTCGAAACTACGCAAACACTAAATCCGAAGAGAACTTTCCGCTACATGGGATAGTGTTTATAAAATCCTTTTCACGTGAGCCGGTTATATCGTCACCGGTCTTAGTCTTAGACCTAGTTTAACCACCCAATCTAACCTGCTTCACTATTACAATAGTCACCCTTGCGCTTGCCTTCCCTATTGTTTCTCTGGTCTCTATTGTCTCGCCCCAGCCCCTTACTTACAGTGACAGGGCGCATTATGGGACTGGTCAGTTTGAATTTACACTTGTAATTGACTTTGAATGGAGACAAGTTCTCAGTTCATCGCTGAAATATTTCAGTCAACTGTCACAGGTTTGTCCCGGTAAATCTAATGATGTATGATGTTGTGACACCATAGGGCACAGTGCCATACACGTGGGCCTCTGTTCATTAATTCAATTGAATTAAAAAACGGTCATCAACAACTCAACCTGCGTTTAGTGATTCATTCACCTAAACCACCGCGGTTATATAAGCGTACACATCCATTTCATATATCATCATGTCGTTCAGACATTAGGCAGTATATTGTCAGCTCACAGTTTCAAGGTGTTAAATAAAAAAACAATCATTGGAATGTAATGTTATTGGTATTCGATAAAAAGTTGCGAAATTAGCTGGATTTTTTACGTATAACAAACTCTCGGGCAAAACTTAGTAATCTCTGTTTTTAAACGAATTAATATTAGCAGTTCATTTTATACCAACAAAATGGAAATTTAATATTCCACATCCCTGCGTCATTTTATAGTCGGATGTAGACCAAGTAAACCGAATTTTCTTACAACGTGCACTTTTCAAATCTTATGAAAATGTTCGCCAGAAAAATAACTTGGCATCCAGGGGGTTAACATTTCCCCACATCGATGACGTAGTAAACACAGTTAACGTTGATAAACATTGACTGAATTACATCAAGCTATCACGTCCTTGGGTATGGTATCACCAACATACAGCAATAAATAGAAAAGATAATGTTTTGATTGCCTAAAATGCTAAATGCAATGCTAGAAGAAAAAATCAAATTTACTTTTTATGTAAATGGTAGAATACATGCCGATATATTTTATACACGTTTAATAGTTATTGTGACTTCAAATTTTCTGGTGAATCGATTCTCTTTGTAGAAAGAAAGTAAGTACACAGAGACTGACTTCATGTATTGATTATTGTGTAAACAGCTTCTCCTGATGAATGTGTAATAAGCACTAGTAGGGAGCGTCAAATAAGCGGTTGCATACATCGATGTAATGAAACATGTTCATTTTAGTTTTGAGGATTAAACGATTTTCTGTGCAACTATCATAACGTAGATTTGATCTTTTTAATCAACCTACCATTGTTCCAGCCTGGTTCCCTGGGTATGCTGCGCTGGCGCCACACTGACCCAGGCAATGACTGCACAATGGCCGCCTCCACTAGCCGAACAAACATGGCGGACACGCCATGTATTTACAAAAGAAAAACTCTAGAACGGATGGTTACAATTTGTTCTTAGCATTTTCATGAATGTCACGAGAATAACGTCTGTTGTTACCTTCAGTGAAGGAAACCAACCAACCATCTGACGCTCACTATTTTAAAGAAAGAACAATGGCAGCCTGGTTCCTTGGGTATGCTGCGCTGGCGCTACACTGACCCAGGCAATGACTGCAGAATGGCCGCCTCCTCCAGACGAACAAACATGGCGGACACGCCATGTATTTACAAAAGAAAAACTCTAGAACGGAGGTAACAACAGACGTTATTCTCGTGACATTCATGAAAATGCTAAGAACAAATTGTAACCATCCGTTCTAGAGTTTTTCTGTAGTAAATACATGGCGTGTCCGCCATGTTTGTTCGTCTGGTGGAGGCGGCAATTGTGCAGTCATTGCCTGGGTCAATGAAGCGCCAGCGCAGCATACCCAGGAAACCAGGCTGCCATTGTTCTTTCTTTAGAATAGTGAGCGTCAGATGGTTGGTTGGTTTGTTGTTTAACGTCGCACTCAGCAATATTCCAGCTAGATGACGGCGGTCTGTAAATTATCAACTCTGGACCAGACAAGCCAGTGATTAATACCATGAGCACCGATCCACGCAATTGGAATCGACGACATGCATCAACCAAGTCAGAGAACCTGACCACCCGATCCCGTTAGTCGCCTCTTACGACAAGCATAGTCACCTTTTACGGCAAGTATGGGTTGCTGAAGACCTATTCTACCCGGGAATCTTCACGGGTCGGTGGAAGGTCATAACCTTTTACGGTAAGTATGGGTTGCTGAAGACCTATTCTACCCGGGAATCTTCACGGGTCGGTGGAAGGTCATAACATGAGTAACGTTTTGACACATACTACCAAAAAGAAGTTAAAGAACACCCGATTCTTTCATATTACTCCAGTAAATCTATCATGGAATGACAGCTTAACTACGGTAATTCGAAAGCATTGCATGTTCTTTTACTTCTTTGGAGTAATATATTGTATAAGAGTAGGTAGTAGGCTGTTTCGGTATAGGTTGCCAACAAATATTTGAAATAATGTGATGAGTCTTTGATGGAATAGGTTCATTTGTTATATGTGAAACCGGGACTGCTTCTTGACATGAAGGACAGACGCAGGTGTTGTTCGAAGTTATAGCCAAGTTTATTACTGATAAATGTTTTTTTTTTTTTAAAAGTAAGCTGAAACAGAGAATTAGGAGAGCTGAAGTGTGAAGTATATAATGTTTAAAACATACTTGACTGAATATTTAATTCAGTAAAAATCTAAACTAATAAAACTCTGAAAATATATACAATTATCTGATCCTGTCACATACTTCTCTCCCTTGAAAATGGCGTCCTCGTCATTCCGGTTCTTCGTCAACAGGGGAAAGCAATGCCTTGGAGATGCTGGTGCTGATGTGTCCTAAAATGCCGGTCGCTGTCAATTGTTCCAGGCGCCGACTCCTCTGCTGCCAGTCTGGGTCAGAAGTCTGGCACATCACATAATCTCCTGAGGTTTGCCAGGCAGGCTTCCTTGTTAGTCTACCAGTTCTTCTTGGTGCAGGTATGGGTTGAGGATTAGCATCAGGTGGTGCAGGAGGAGGTAGCTCTTCTCTGACTGAGTCTTCCGGCTCCTCTTCAGTGTTTTCTGGTGGTTGCACTGCTTCAGGATCTGCTTCTGTGCTGCTGTCTTCTTCGGGTATGTGGTCGTCACCACCAGAAGCATCACCTGCTACTCCAAGAGACTGTAGATCGTCACCTGTTGTCTCTGAAGTAGCCGCACTCTCTTCCACAGTGTCTTCACTGATGATGGTAGCATCCTCAGCAACTGCTGGAAAATAGAATGGAGCATCATAGTCAGACTCTTTATCCTCCTGGATATCCTCTTCTATAGTCTTCTTCACTGTCTTTCTTGGTCTTGGAGTTGGCTTCTTGGCTGCTGGTACTCTGTTGTTATCCATGATCGCTGGTACTGATCCAATGGGCAGGAGATGGTTTCTGTGCAACGTCCTCTTCCTCCCCTCACCAGATTCTCTCTGCACTACAAACACAGGGATATCCTGGTTTGGTTGCAAGAGAACAACATAAGGATCTTCCTCCCAGCGATCTGCCAACTTGTGCTTACCATCAAAGGCTAAGGCTTTCACCAGAACTCGATCACCTGTCTGTACAGTGGCCCCTCTAGTCTTCAAGTCGTAGCTGGCTTTCTGTTTGACTTGGGCAGTCTTTGATGCCTTTGACGCCAGGTCATAGGCTTCTTGGAGCTTCTTCTTCAGAGACTTTGCATAAGCTGTCAGAGACTGATGATTCACTTTGATGATTTTTATTTTGACCTTGACCCACAGTGACATATAACCTTTTGCGTTGACTCTATTGTATCTGTTAAGACAATCAAGATCTATCCTAACAACAAGCCCTGGATTACAAAGCGCGAGTTTTTTGTAGCGGTGATCATTAAAGTTAAATGTTTTTTAAAAACTATTATGCATGGAATAATAAGATCTTTGTATAGAGCTAAAGTTTAGAAACAAAATAACGACAAAAACCTTCGCGAGTGAAAAGTTTTAAAGATACAAAACAAAATTTGGTGATAACAAAAAATGATATTATGAATTATTTCAGCCAACTCAGTGTTAGTGCGTGTGGCCATGATAATGTGTCTGGTCTTGTTTTGAAAGAGATATAAAACAACTGGTATCATTAAAACAATTTTCGTTCAATAAAGTTCTTTAATTAAACAATCATTCAATGCTTCTTCTTTGGAAAACTATAAGACAATATGTCAATCAGTGTTTGCAATCAAATTGGGATAACACAAACAACTAACAAGTTGCTTAATATTAAGTCAATGAACAATCGTACCAATATCAATATTGCCTGTCGTAGAGATGATGTTGTTCTACGATTCTAAGATTTTAGCATTCATGAATTATATTCATCATTATGCAAAATATAGATTTTTACTCGTTTTTACTCGTATTTCTGTAACATGTGACATATTTTCTATCATCCTTTTATTAGTGTTCTCTATATGCACTAGCTTGATTTTTTGTCCATTGGTTCTCGCCGCGATAAGCTGTAATATTTTTATGAAAAACATCAAATGTCTTATCGAATATAAGACAACAATAAGCAAGTACAATGTACATAAAGATTAGTCTCACTATAGGCAACAATTACTACTATTGATACGCTCCTTGCAGTAAATACACATGTTTTTGGTACATAAAAAGGTCCGACAAAGATTATAATGTCCTTGTCGCTTAAGATTTTAATATTTATCCCACTATTTCCATCCTTGTTTTATATCTTTATACAAAGTATGTTAAGGTTCACTTTCCAACTGGTGTGGGGATCTGTCTGTTTTAAACAAATACAAAGGACACAAAATTGAGCTCGTCAATCATTCGTACCAGTCAGTATTCGTTTCCTTAACTACGAAACCATGTATTATTATTGTCTAGATCTACCACATTTGTCTAACTTGAGAACCTTTTAATTTATGCCTCCCATATTTCCCTTTTTTTCCCTTTCCATTGTTGATTGGTGCTTTTACATCGTTTTTGTCATAGTGTTTATGTGTGTGTCGGTGTATTTAACTTATTTCATTGACCTATTTCTTATTTCTCTATGATGTAACACAAATATCCGTAGGGATAATGTAGTATTATTTTATTCTTATGTTACCTCAAGAAAGTGTCTGTGTAAAACATTGCCATGACAAAGCCAAACCAATGTCATGACATAAAAGAAAAAATAAATATTGCTTTGTAATTATCGATTATTTACAGAACGCCGTCATATAGCTGGAATATTGCTGAATGCGGCGTTAAACAACAAACAAACAAACAAAATAACTGACAAACAATCAGACTTTAACAAATCCTCCTAGATAAAACACATTCCTTTTATATAGTTAATCATGCATTAATACTAAAACATAATACATATTATACTCCGTCTCATAAAATGAAAATATGCAGTGAATAGTCCTGAATAAATAAATATACTATAAACAGAGTTGCACTACCATTTTTGAAATACATGCATTAGAAATACGACAAAATATTATACGTAGACACATGATTGGTATAGATTGAATAAAAGAGGAAAGAAATTTCTTTCTGACATGTGTATTCACGAGGTTCTGAAATAATGCAGAAAACAGGTGTAATACAATAATACAAACACTCAACATATACCATACTTAGTAGGTATTTTACACATCGTTCACATATTACTGTTTTACTTCGTTCATAGCAATACTAGCTTCACATTCTGCATGTCATTTTCACGACAGGCACCTGAAACGCCTGTAAATATTACTCCAATAACCCTGCGGTTCACCATAAAAAACACCGAGATGAAGTGCTTGTAAAATATGATCATCCAGATAGTCATCCTGCAGTCCATTATCAGAAAATGGGTAACAGGTTGCAAATGAAATTTCACGCTCTAAAGCGTATAATACTTACTGAAAACACATCATCTCCTATACTATCTCCAAAAAAAGCCAGAATATCATAACTTTATGGCAACTGGAATGCGCAACCATGATTTTACACCCATACAAATTAATGCTTTGCATTAATAAACTCGTTTGCATCTCTGAACGTAATTCCAATCAAATGAACATTCAGAAAATAATATAGACTGACAAATACTAAATTATTGTTCGTAAGTTCTTTTTGGGTGATTTGTGTACTTTGTCGTCACTTGTAGACATTTGCACAAGCTATTGTTATTTCTAAATGCTACAAGAATCAAGGTGATCCTATAAGAATAACATTCTAGAGCATAGAGACTAATGGAATTAATCAATCGGGATTGTAAGTTCAACATTGATACATATACATATATCACTTGTATTCATTCTTAAAAACATTTTACAGAATGTACACATGGCTTATGCCCAAGTCAAATACAAAGGTAAGTTGAATTAAAACTTGGTTCAGCATTGTCTTTGTGGAAAACCATAGAGTATAAAAAAGTTGTTGAATAGGACGTTTGCAGTTGTCTTAATAGTAGGGCCCATTGCTGGTGTCCCCCGCTGTGATATTGCTGGAATAGTGCTAAAAGCGGCGTAAAACCTTATTCACTCACTCACTCACTTAATAGTAGGGTAGGCTTGAGCATATCCTGTAAAATGATCTGTCAGAAAAAGAATATATTGATATCCTCCATTTGACCTCTCTGGTGTGAGGACGAAAGGAAGGGGCTGGCTGGTAAGGATGGAGAGGAGAGTAGCTTGACCTTCTGTTAGTGTTCTTCTGAAGCATCTTTGACAGTTTTTGATCCTATAATCCACATCTTTAGCCATTCCAGGCCATTAGAAACTGAGAATCTGATCTCCAATCTCATCATGAAGTCGATTTAATGCTCTCCTGATGAATTCTGCACGGAGAACTAGTTGCCTCTTTTCTCCTATACCCATGACAGTATAAATGTACATCACTCCCCGTTGTAGTTAGAGGCGACTGAATTCTCGGATAATACCTGCAGGAATATCCTCTGATATCTTGTTGTGATGTAATCCGGCAAAGACTCTGGGAAGTACTGGATCCCTGTGTATTGTGCATTCCCCCAATACCTTAGAGTGAAACAAGTTATGTTGTTCCTGTGTCAAACGTCTGCAATAAGTTCATCTGCGAAGCATAAACTCTCGATGTAGTTGGATGTCTGACAACTATTGCAGATCACCCTTACAGATGTAGCAGCCATCGTCTCTGTCTCGTCTTCTTGTGACAACCTGAAGATCATATCAGCATCTGCGTTACATTTACCTGAACGATACTTAATATTAAAGTTGAATGAGGAAAGAGCAACAATCCACCTGTGTCTCGTAGTATCCAGTTTTGGTGTACTCAAGACGTATTTGAAAGGTTGTTGTCCGTTAGTACAGTTAACTGATTTCTGTAGAGGTGGTCGTAGTCAATCACTGCCCATTTAAATTCCAGGAACTCCAACTTGTGTGATGGCCAGTTCTTCTCTGCTTTATTGCTTTATTGGCCGCTTTTAGCGATGACCATCTTTTGTCCTTCTTTTTCTAGGTAGAGGATGGCACCTAATCTATGCGAATGTGGATCTGTGTGAACTTGAAAAGCCATAATTCGCATATCCAAGAATAGGTAGCTTTGACAAAGCCCAATTCAGTTGCTTGATGGCTGATTCTTGCATACAAGGACAACATAAGAAGCCCATGGGCTTTAATATAAGAACGTCTGATGATTCCACAAGCACGTAACTCCTGAAACATAGATGGTGGTATGCGCCTATCTCTTTCCTAAATTAGTGTAAGGTCTGTCAATCCCTAAAAAAACAGTGTAGTGGCCAACATCTAAATCTCCTGTAGAAAACACGTCGCCGTATTTCTGAATAAGCTCTTCACTCAGCTTCTTCTGTTCCTCAGTTACCTTATGAGATATGTTCTCCTTCTTCAGCTTGTGCTGTTTTACTTCAGTGGCAATCTGTTCCACGTTGACGGGTGCAACTTTCTAAATCTGGACTAATTGTATCTCGCAGATGATTGTCCTAGGGGAAGCAACTATGGTCTTGTTGGTCAGGTTTGACAATTGAAAAGGGACTTGTAGTGACTTCTAGTACTGGCAGCAGAATAATGCAGGGGTTATCTCAAGCCCCGGTGATATGGATGTCTTTCTCTATAAGGCAGTTTCTTGTAGAGTGACTGTTTGGAGTTAAAAACGAGTGACACATCACAGCTACACATAAGTCCCAGGGTCCCATCTTTCCTTGTAAGTCCCTTGTCCTGCAAACTCATACCTCGAGAGGCAAGATTCCAAGGTGTGTGCATTTTGCTCACTTGAAGAAAGTTAGGTCCTATTGCCTACCTGTAACTACTAATAGCTGGGATAAGATAATTAGTCTCCAGTAATACGGTAACACGATTGATGTACTCACTGTCCGGGATGAGGAACCATAAACAATTACTTTTGAGACCTGTAGATAACCAACTAGTTTCAACCGCAACATCCACATATCCCATATAAGGCAATGTCTCACAATTGGCACATTCCTAATCTCCAACGATGGTATTGTTGCAACTTTCCGGGATAGTTGACACTTATGTTTCTGTGATGATTCCAAAACCAAATTGGTTTAATATTTTTCTTACCAGAAAGAACCCAACTTTCTATATTAGGATGACTTAACATCATTTCTAAAAGAGCTTTGTACACAATACTAACTTATCTATTTTATTTAAGATTTCATCCAATATTTAACAATTCTAAAAAAACGCACACTTGGTAGTAGGGTAGTACCCCGAATTCGCCATAAACATAAGCCTATAGTGTAGATAATTTCACACTTAATATCTTTTTAATAAATCTTTCAATTGCATAGGCCTCCGTAAAACCCCACACCTCACATTCATAACACAATATCGGTTGAATTAGTGATTGAAATAACTGGTACTGGATATCAACAGAAATATACTTATGACTATTGATAACTCTATACAATGAAAATAAAGCTTTCATTGCCTGTTCAGATAAAGTTCTTTGACATTCTATAAAACTACCAGAGGGTGTAAACAAGGGCTGGGGCGAGTCCAAATTTACTACCCGGGTACCCACCACCCTATTACCCGACCATACCCGGGTACCCGTTATAGATAAACACCATACCGATTGGATTAGCCAATTTACTAAAATAATCCACAAAATTACAGTATCCACTACTCTTACTATTTCCCATAGAGGCGTTAATCTTTTTCCAAAATTGCTAAACATTCGACTCACTAAGGCCAGCTAACAACTGTGCATCCTGTTTGTCCTTACGTCTATTAGAAATTGCTAGGTTCAATTGAATTCTAACATGGTTCAAGGCGAGATCAAAGGCGCGCCTTCTTTTTATTAGACAGCAGTTTGTGCCGTTGGTTGTCAAGCACCGACACATTTGGAATCAGTCTGCGAGAGGTATCCCTTGTGCTTGTCAAAGGATATTAACTCTGTCTACAAATACAAACCTTAAGAATTCTCATCCAGATGGGATAGGAAGAAGCTCATATCATGATAAAATCAACTCCAGGGAACCAAATGTTACCCTGTTGCATGAAACGGTAAAGCCAGTCAACAGTCAATTTGTTAAAACTATGAGTATAGTAAAGAGAACGATGCCGAGACTGATATTCATGAAGAGGAATAACCTCAGACACATGGCTTCAAGCGTGGCAGACACATCCTTCCAGGATGGATCCTCTGTGCTCACCTTGGCATTTACGTCACCCGCATGATCTTGATCTACAGCAGCAGTCTGCTTTTGATCTGACGAAAAACATTTCCAGAGATCAACCCATTTCTGCAGCACTTTGGGCACCTTTCCTTGACGCTTGTAGATCCTGAGAATGAGGATCATCATGGCCACAGAGAGAGAGCTTAGGGTGAGCAGAGCGGTCAGGTAGATGGTGAGGTAGGACGTCTGTCGGGACGTTTTTGGCATGTCTGTGGTCATCTGAGTCAGGAACACGCCGAAGGAGAGTAGAACCGTCATGGACAGAGCCACTTTGTCCCCGTACTCTGTGGACAGAGCAAACACCAGGGAGCTGAGAAGAGATAGAAGCGTGATGGGGATTATCAGGTAGTAGACGTAATATGATGGTCGGCGTTTCAGGGTCAGTTCTACAATTAGTCGAGGGTACTGAAGTTCCTTTAGAAATGTTGTTATATTTCTTAATTGCCATAATCCATTCCCACTCGTAGTATAGGTATCCAATTGATGCGGAAGTGGTGTTAACTTAACTTTGTCCGACCTTGAAACCCAGGTTGATAGAACAAGATTGCAAATCTGAGAATCAAACGGAAAATGGACAATATCAAAGTCGCACTGACTCTGGAAGAGATCACCGTGGTCCCATTCTACTAATCCAGTGTGTTCCACGCATAAAGGTACTTGTGGGTCATTGAAAAGCTTCATTCCTTTGACGGAATTTAAGAGCAGTAAATCAGGGGTCCAGATTGTTTGACTAGATAGATATATTTTCTCTATACCATTGAAATCTGTAACGTTCCACTTTAAGGAATCATCCACCCACTGGAACGTGAACCATCCACTGGTGGTGACTGATTGTCGCCGTTCATCAAGTTCAACTATTTGGGATAGGGAAAAATATATTCCAATATCCAACACTTCATTTGTTTGAAAAACCTCTTGATTGTAGCTTTCAAGAAGGTGTTTTAAAAGTCCCCCTTGTCCAGCAAGCATCTTCCCGTGAATTTGTACGAGAACAATAGTGCCGAAAAAAATGCTCGTGACACGTTTGAACACTTTCACAGCCATTATTTCCTCTGACTCGTCTCCCTTGTCTGAACAGTGGTGACTAGAAGCTTATAATAAAGGTGATCGATCGGTTTATGCAGGTCATGAAAGAGTGTTGCGGATAACGCTCTTAACACTTCCATTAACCCCCTGTATGGCACAGGGATATATGTATCCTTTCTCATCAACCCTCACATGGAAGTCGAATAATATTTAAAATACATCATTCACACAATTCACAGTTGTGAATTCTGAGGCAAATTATCTGGTCTGTGATATGACGACCGAAGCACATTTATTGAAAATGAATGCAATTACAAAAAAAAGGATATTAATGATCACGGGTATCTGTCATGTATTTAATCGGGTGCCCCCGGTTTCCCAACATTTCTTATAACAACAAACCCAGTCAGGCGTAGAAGAATAGAGTGATTGGTTTGGGTACACTATTGGTAGGGGTGCTGGTGGGTGAGTTAAGTTCACCCACCTGCCAGATCGAACCGTGTTCACCAATTAGCACTTATGCCAGGCTCTTATAATATGAGTGACCGTGTTCACTAATGTACACTTCTGCGTGTTATGAGTATAGCCGTAACGAAAGTGCCCCTCTCCATGATGCCAGAGTTCTCCGATTTACTGACGATGTGACTGAAATTTTGGTGGAGGGCGATCATGGACGAAGCACCTGGAATAACCACGACACCGTCGGCCCAAGAACGACCAACCACGTAGAGGGCTGGCACTTCAAGCTCACCTCCATCATGGGCAGTCCCCACCCCAACATCTACAGAATTAATGACTTTTTTAGGACAGAACAAGCCTACACCAAGGCCAGTATCCTGCAGCTTGTAGGTGGGGGTATGCTTAGACCCAGGAGATCTAAGTATCGACATCTTGAGACCAGACTTGATGCAGAAAAGAGACACTTACGTGAGGGAAGAAAGTCAGCAATTGAATTTGCAGATGCTGTGGCCAATTTTGTACGTTTGTGATGATCATGAAATGTCATGTTGGTTTATTATAAATTGTCGAGTTGTATTTTAAATTTGATGTTGAGACATTAAAAACTGTTGTGATATTAGAATATTGATTGTGAAATTCAATCATGTTCATGTGCTGTGATATGGAAATCATGTGAAATCAAATACGATATAAATAAAAAAAAACATGACTGCATGTTTGTTCATACTTCTATTCATTGAAATCATGGTGTGTCCATAGAGCGTCGGTCACCCCTAAAAAGACAGTGGGACAGTGGGACAACAACAACCCCGGAATCGTTTTGAGTGGTTTCGAAATTACGCAAACACTAACGCCGAAGAGAACTTTCCGCTATATGGGATAGTTTTTATAAAATCCTTTCCGGTTATATCGTCGCCGGTTATTACATCTCTTATATATGAGACGAAGAAAAATAAACACATGATAATGAACAAACACATGGCCTATATTAAAAATATGTTTGCTTGTTTTGAAATAGTCTGTGTTTTTGTTTTTGTCAGTGGGGCAATCTGAAGACTAATTTACCCTCTAGATAGGGACATCGCTTTCCCCTTTACTTCCCTTTTTATGTAGTACGATTTCATCATTTCTTACGATTTTTTTACAATACCTAAACGTTCACGGTTTCATTATCAATGCCTGTGTTTCGTATAGATTGGTACATAGTGAACCCAGAAAATACAAAACCTTATTATTTTGATGCACAGCAAACTCTCATCTGAGTTAGAATGGACTAGTTCAAAGCATAGCAGGGTTGTGCCCCTTTTTATTTGTGCTTGTGTATACCTGCCTGTCGTCTTTAACGTCATAGCTGAATCGATTTTCTTCCTTTATGGCAAGCTTTTTTTCAAATCGAATGTACAACGTCCACCATAAGCGTACACATCCATTTCATTTATCATCACGTCGTTCAGACATTAGGCAGTATATTGTCAGCTCACAGTTTCCATCAAGATGTTAAATAAAAAATAAATCATTGGAAAGTAATTTTATTGGTATTCGATAAGAAGTGGCGAAATTAGCTGGATTTTTTTACGTATAACAAACTCTCGGGCAAAACTTAGCACTTTCTGTTTTCCTACCAGTTCATTTTTATACCAACAAAATGGAAATTTGATATTCTACATCCCTGCGTCATTTTATAGTCGGATGTAGACCAAGTAAACCGAATTTTCTTACAACGTCCACTTTTCAAATCTTATGAAAATGTGCGCCAGAAATATAACTTGGCATCCAGGGGGTTAACATTTCCCCACATCGATGACGTAGTAAACACAGTTAACGTTGATAAATATTGACTGAATTACAACTAGCTTTCTAGTCCTTGGGATATGATATGACCAACATACAGCAAATAAATAGAAGAGAATGTATTTTGATTTCCTAAAATGCTAAACGCCATGCTACTGAGAAGAAAAGATCAAAGTAACCGTTCTTGATATAACTGGTAGAATACATGCCGATATATTTAATACACGTTTAATAGTTTGTGACTGCAAATTGTCTGGTGAATCGATTCTCTTTGTAGAAACAAAGTAAGTACACAGAGACTGACTTCATGTCTTGATTATTGTGTAAATAGCTTCTCCTAATGAATGTGTGATAAGCACTGGTAGGGAGCGTCAAATAAGTGGTTGCAGACATCGATGTAATCAAATAGGTTCATTTTAGTTTTGAGGATTAAACGATTTTCTGTGCAACTATCATAACGTAGATTTTAATCAACCTACCATTGTTCTTTCTTTAGAATAGTGAGCGTCAGATGGTTTGTTGGTTTGTTGTTTAATCGCACTCAGCAGTATTCCAGCTATATGACGGCGGTCTGTAAATTATCGAGTCTGGACCAGACAATCCAGTGATTAATATCATGAGCATCGATCCACGCAATTGGGATCGATGACATGCATCAGCCAAGTCAGCGAGCCTGACCACGCGATCCCGTTTGTCGCCTTTTACGACAAGTATAGTCACCTTTTACGGCAAGCATGGGTTGCTGAAGACCTATTCTACACGGGAATCTTCACGGGTCGGTGGAAGGTCATAAAATGAGTAACGTTTTGACACACACTAACGAAAAGAAGTTAAAGAACATCCGATTCCTACATATTACTCCAGTTAATCTATCATGGTATGACAGCTTAACTACGGTAATTCGAAACCATTGGATGTTCTTTTATTTTTTTGGAGTAGTATATTGTATACGAGTTGCCGTTACGGTAGTAGGCTGTCTCGGTATAGGCTGCCAACAAAAATCATTGAAATAATGTAATGTATCTTTGATGGAGTAGGTTCATTTTATATGGGATAACTTTTATAGCCTTTTATAGGTTTACTCTGAGTTTTACATCTTTATATTTTGACCTTGACCCACAGTGACATATAACCTTTTGCGTTGGCTCTATTGTACCTGTTAAGACAATCAAGATCTATCCCAACAATAAGCCCTGGATTACAAAGCGAGTTTTTTTTGTAGCGGCGATCATGAAAGTTAAATCTGTTAAAAAAACTGTTATGCATGAAATTATAAGATCTTTGTATAGAGCTAAAGTTTCGAAACCAAATAACGACAAAAACCTTCGCGAGTGAAAAGTATTAAAGATACAAAACAAAATTTGGTGATAACAAAAAATGATGTTATGAGTTATTTTAGCCAACTCAGTGTTCGTGCGTGTGGCCATGATAATGTGTCTGGTTTTGTTTTGAAAGAGATATAAAACAACTGGTACCATTAAAACAATTTTCGTTCAATTAAGTTCTGTAAACAATCATTCAATGCTTCTTCTTTGGAAAACTATAAGACAATATGTCAATCAGTGTTTGCAATCAAATTGGGTTTACACAAACAACTAACAAGCTGCACAATATTAAGTCAATGATCAATCGTACCAGTATCAATCTTGTCTGTCGTAGAGATGATGCTGTTCTACGATTCTAAGATTTTAGCATTCATGAAATAAATTCATCATTATGAACAATATAGATTTTAGTCATTTGTACTCGTATTTCTGTTACATGTGACACATTTTCTATCATCCTTTTAATATAAGAAAATAATAAGCAAGTACAATGTACATAAAGATTAGTCTCACTGTAAGCAACAATTTCTCCTATTGATACGTTCCCTGAAGTAAATACACATGTTTTTGGTACATAAAAAGGTCCGACAAAGATTATAATGTCCTTGTCGCTTAAGATTTTAATATTGATCCCACTATTTCCATCCTTGTTTTATATCTTTATACAAAGTATGTTAACGTTCACTTTCCGATCCACTGCTGGTGTGGGGATCTGTCTGTTTTAAACAAATACAAAGGACACAAAATTGAGCTCGTCAATCATTCGTACCAGTCAGTATTCGTTTCCTTAACTATGAAACCATGTGTTATTATTGTCTAGATCTACCACATTTGTCTAACTTGAGAACCTTTTAATTTATGCCTCCCATATTTCCATTTTCTTTTCTCACTTATTGTTGATTGGTGCTTTTACATCGTTTTTGTCATAGTGTTTATGTGTGTTGGTGTATTTAACTTATTTCATTGACCTATTTCTTATTTCTCTATGATGTAACACAAATATCCGTAGGGATAATGTAGTATTATTTTATTCTTATGTTACCTCAAGAAAGTGTCTGTGTAAAACATTGCCATGACAAAGCCAAACCAATGTCATTACTTAAAGGAAAAAATAAATACTGCTTTGTAATTATCGATTATTAACAGAACGCCGTCATAAAGCTGGAATATTGCTGAATGCGGCGTTAAATAACAAACAAACAAGCAAAATAACTGACAAACAATCAGACTTTAACAAATCCTCCTAGATAAAACACATTCTAATAAATCATGCATAAATAATACAACATAATATATATTATACTTATTCTCAGGGACGCAAGGCAGAACCTCATACAATGAAAAAATGCAGTGAATAGTCCTGAATAAATAAATATACTATAAACACAGCCGCACTACCATGTGTGGAATACATGAATTAGAAATACGACAAAATATTATACGCAGACACATGATTGGCATAGATTGAATAAAAGAGGAAAGAAATTTCTTTCTGACATGTGTATTCACGAGGTTCTGAAATAATGCAGAAAACAGGTGTAATACAATAATACAAACACTCAACATATACCATACTTAGTAAGTATTTTACACATCTTTCACATATTACTGTTTTACTTCGTTCATAGCAACACTAGCCTTATATTCTGTATGTCAGGTTCACGACAGGCACCTGAAAAGCCTGTTAATATTACTCCAATAACCCTGCGGTTCACCATAAAAAACACCGAGATGAAGTGCAAAATATGAACATCAAGATAGTCTTCCTGTAGAGTGACTAGAGTGAAACAAGTTGTGTTGTTCCTGTGTTCAACGTCTGCAATAAGTTCATCTGCGAAGCATAAACTCTGGATGTTGGACAAGTATTGCAGATCACCTTTACAGATGTAGCAACCATCGTCTCTCTCTCAGTTTTCTGTGTCTGAGTAGGGTATTCATGTAAAAATGCTAGCACTATAAATCGGCATCAGTCCGGACTAGTACAATCAGCCACACAAACACACACGTACATGCACGTCGATATATAAGTCCAATAATCTTGGACGCGACATTAAACCCCATTTCACCTCACCTCACCTCTCTCTCGTCTTCTTGTGACAACCCGAAGAGCATACCAGCATCTGCGTTACATTTACCTGAATGATACTTAATATCAAAGTTGAATAAGGAAAGAGCTACAATCCACCTGTGTCTTGTAGCATCCAATTTTGGTGAACTCAAGACGTTTGTGAAAGGTTGTTGTCCGTTATTACAGTTAACTGATTTCTGTAGAGGTGGTCGTAGTCAATCACTGCCCTTTATAATTCCAGCAACTCCAACTTGTCTGATGGACAGTTCTTCTCGGCTTTATTGCTTTATTGGCCGTTATAAGCGATGACCCTCTTTTGTCCTTCTTTTTCTAGGTAGAGGATTGCACCTAATTTTGCGAATGTGGATCTGTGTGCACTTCAAAAGAAAGCCATAAGTCTCATATCCAACAAAAGGTCGCTTTGACAAAGCGCCATTCAGTTGCTTGATGGCTGATTCTTGAGTTTGACCCCAAGTCTATTTAACCTTCAAGTGCTCTTTAAAATCAGGAAACCCGATGAGATCATCCAGATAAATCAGGCAGATTTCCAAGTGAAGACTTCCAAACATATATTCCATCTGGATCATTTACGAGTTCAAATGACATTAGCTTAAATTGTACTCGTAAAACCCTAGAAGTCCAACTGCAAAGGCGATTCCTGCTTTGTAAGCTTCCCCTGTCTCTGTTTAATGGTAACCCGAATGCATGTCCATAACAGTGAGAAAACTGCTAGTCTCTTGAAGATTTCTTCAACATGTAAAGCGTAGGCATCTTTACAGTGCGCTGGTTGAGTGATCTAAAATCAATACACAAACCAAAAGATCCATCACCATTGCATACAAGGACTAAATAAGAGGCCCATGGGCTATAATATAAGAACGTCTGATGATTCCAGAAGCACGTTACTGTTGGAGATATTCCTTCAACTCCTGAAACATAGATGGTGGTATGCGCCCATCTCTTTCCTTGATTGGTGTACGATCTGGCAATCCCTAAAAAACAGTGTAGTGGCCAAAATCTAAATCTCCGGTAGAAAACACGTCGCCGTATTTCTGAATTAGCTCTTCACTCAGCTTCTTCTGTTCCTCAGAAACCTTATGAGATATGTTCTCCTTCTTCAGCTTGTGCTGTTTTACTTCAGTGGCAATCTGTTCCACGTTGATGGGTGCAACTTTCTAAATCTGGACTAATTGTATCTCGAAGATGATTGTCCTAGGGGAAACAACTATGGTCTTGTTGGTCAGGTTTGACAATTAAAAGGGGCTTGTAGTGACCTCTTGTACTGACAGCTGAATAATGCAGGGGTTTATCTCAAGCCCCGGTGGTATGGATGTCTTTGTGGCCCTGGTGAAGCATGACACAATTTTCTCTATAAGGCAGTTTCTTGTAGAGTGAACACGTGACTGTCGTGTTCTGTTTTGAGTTAAAAACGAGTGACACCTCACAGGTACACATAAGTCCCAGGGTCCCATCTTTCCTTGTAGGTCCCTTGTCCTGCAAACTAATACCCCGGGAGGCAAGATTCCAGTGTGTGTGCATTTTGCTCACTTGAGGAAACAAAGGTCCAGTAAAACGGGAACACGATTGATGTACTCACTGCCTGGGATGACGAACCATAAACAATTAGTTTCAACCGCAACATCCACATATCACATATAAGGCAATGTCTCACCATTGGCACATTCCTAATCTCCAACGATGGTATTGTTGCACCTTTCCGGGATAGTTGACACTGATGTTTCTGTGATGATTCCAAAACTAATATTTTTTTTACCAGAAATGCCTAACTTTCTACGTTAGGACGACTTAACATCATTTCTAAAATAGCTTTATACACAATACTATTATATCTATTTGGATCACACTTTAAGATTTTCATCCAATATTTAACAAATCTAACAAACCGCACACTTATCAATGGCAGTACCCCGAATTCACCATAAACATATGTCTATGCTGTAGATAATTTAACAATTAATATCTTTTTAATAAATCTTTCCATTGCATAAGCCTCTGTAAAACCCCACACCTCACAATCATAACACAATATGGGTGGAATTAGTGATTGAAATAACTCGTACTGAATATAAACAGAAATATACTATTGATAACTCTATACAATGAAAATAAAGCTTTCATTGCCTGTTCAGATAAAGTTCTTTGACATTCTATAAAACTACCAGAGGGTGTAAACTAGGGCTGGGACGAGTCTAAATTTACTACCCGGGTACCCACCACCCTTTTACCCGACCATACCCGGGCACCCGTTATAGATAAACACCATACCAATTAGATTAGCCAATTTGCTAAAATAATCCACAAAATTACAGTAACCACTACTCTTACTGTTTCCCATAGAGGCGTTAATCTTTTTCCAAAATTGCTAAACATTCGACTTACTAAGGCCGACTAACAACTGTGCATCCTTTTGTCCTTACGTCTACTAGAAATTCCTTTCGTTTATTAAACACACTAAAGATCCCAAAACAAATATTAATGAATGTTGTTTGAAAATTGTCTTCTCCAAAAGTACATGCGCAGAAATCTCAGCTTTCAGGGGATACTTCGAACTAAAATGTCACGAAATATTACTGCAGCTATCAGATATGCCTAGGCTAACATTATTTACAAGAAACAAAACAAGAACAAAACTTGCATCTGAATACCTTTCGGAAACCTTCGGGATATTTTCAGTCTTCTTGATAATTTTCAAAAATATTTTGTATGTGTTTCACACTAAATTGAACAACAAAGGTTGCCGGAATATTTCCAGGTAGGATTCAAAGTGGGAAGGTATCTGGAAGGTTTCCGGAAAACGGACACCTACCTTTTTTTGCTATTTACAATAATTGTTCATATATATAAGCTCCAGTGATCACTTAATCGGAGATTCCATAAACATACACTAGGTTCCATTGAATTCTAACATGGTTTAGGGCGAGATCAAAGGCGCGCCATTTTTTATTAGACAGCAGTTTGTGCCGTTGGTTGTCAAGCACCGACACATTTGGAATCAGTCTGCGAGACGTATCCCTTGTGCTTGTCAAAGGATATTAACTCTGTCTACAAATGCAAACCTTAAGAATTCTCATCCAGATGGGATAGGAAGAAGCTCATCTCATGATAAAATCAACCCCAGGGAACCAAAGGTTACCCTGTTGCATGAAACTGTAAAGCCAGTCAACAGTCAATTTGTTAATACTATGAGTACAGTGAAGAGAACGATGCCGAGACTGATATTCATGAAGAGGAATAACCTCAGACACATGGCTTCAAGCGTGGCAGACACATCCTTCCAGGATGGATCCTCTGTACTTACGTCATCCGCATGATCTTGATCCACAGCCGCAGTCTGCTTTTTATTTGACGAAAAACATTTCCAGAGAACAACCCATTTCTGCAGCACTTTGGGCACCTTTCCTTGACGCTTGTAGATCCTGAGAATGAGGATCATCATGGCCACAGAGAGGGAGCTGAGGGTGAGCAGAGCGGTCAGGTAGATGGTGAGGTAGGACGTCTGTCGGGACGTTTTTGGCATGTTTGTGGTCATCTGAGTCAGGAACACGCCGAAGGAGAGTAGAACCGTCATGGACAGAGCCACTTTGTCACCGTACTCCATTGGCAGAGCAAACACCAGGGAGCTGAGAAGAGATAGAAGCGTGATGGGGATTATCAGGTTGTATACGTAATATGATGGTCGGCGTTTCAGGGTCAGTTCTACAATAAGTCGAGGGTACTGATGTTCCTTTAGAAATGTTGTTATATTTCTTAATTGCCATAATCCATTCTCACCCGTAGTATAGATATCCAACTGATGCGGAAGAGGTGTTAACTTAACTTTGTCCGACGTTGTAACCCAGGTTGATAGAACAAAATTGCAAATCTGAGTATCAAACGGAAAATGGACAATATCAAAGTCGCACTGACTCTGGAAGAGATCACCGTGGTACCATACTACTAATCCGGTGTGTTCCACGCTTACAGGTACTTGTTGGTGACTGAAAAGCTTAATTCCTGTGGCAGAATTTAAGAGCACCAAATCAGGGGTCCAGATTGTTTGACTAGACAGATATATTTGCTCTGTACCATTGAAATCTGTAACGTTCCACTTTAAGGAATCATCCACCCACTGGAACGTGAACCATCCACTGGTGGAGAATGATTGTCGCTGTTCATCAAGTTCACCTATTTGGGATACGGTCAAATATATTCCAATATCCATCACTTCATTTGTTTGAAAAACCTCTTGATTGTAGCTTTCAAGAAGGTGTTTTAAAAGTCCCCCTTGTCCAGCAAGCGTCTTCCCGTGAATTTGTAAGAGAACAATAGTGCCGAAAACAATGCTCGTGACACGTTTGAACACTTTCACAGCCATTGTTTCCTCTGACTCGTCTCCCTTGTCTGAACAGTGGTGACTAGAAGCATATGATGCATAAGGTGATCTGTCAGCTAATGTGAGTCATGAACGAGCGCTTTGGATAACACTCTAAATACGTCGATAAACATTGCCTCGCATTGTGACATATCCAAACAGAGTTAGAGTTTACGTTGAACAGCATTGACAGGATTATTCCTGGAATATGATAACATTGGGACACCATGCAGCAAATGAAGAGCAGATAGGATGTGTTTTGATTTGCTCAAAATAGTAAAAGTCATGCTTTTAAAAAAAGATCAAATTTACCTTCATTATATTGCTGTAAGAATACATGCCACTATGCATTTTACACGTTTAATTTACATTTTGATTGCAATATGTCCAGTAAATCGAATCTCGTTGCAGGAGTTCGATCCCATTTTGAAATGAAATGATACTATTAGCTCAATCAGTCAAATATAGGCATTTTGTTCCATAAATCCTTTTTTATGAATTGCGTAAATACTTTACATGACGACCGCCTCCGTGGTCTTGTGGTAGAGCGTCCGCCCGGAGAGCGGAAGGTCCGGGGTTCGATCCCGGGCCGCGTCATACAAAAAGACGTTAAAAGATTGTACTTGTTGTTACCCTGTCTGGCGCTCGGCATTAAGGGGCTAAAACAAGGACTGGTCGGCTCGGAGTCAGTATACTGTGTCTGAGTGGGGTATTCATGTTAAACTGCGGCATGGTATCTCAGTGAGCTAGCACTATAAATCGGCATCAGTCCGTACTAGTACAAGCAGCCACACACACACACGTGCATGCACGTCGCTATATAAGTGCAATAATCTTGGACGCGACGTTAAACCCAATTTCACCTCAACTCACCTCACTTTACATGACGTTATCAGCAGTATTTTTTGTCAGGCGCATCATATTCGATTGCCAGTTAAATGTGCTCAATTTGGATTTATATCTTGATTTTTGTGTTAACGTTCCCTTTTAAACAAATGTTTAATAACCACTCGTGGGGAGCGTCAAATTGTTAGTTGCAGCCACCAATATAGTTCAAATATTCATTTTAGTTTTGCGGAAAATACTATTGTCAGTGACAATATCAGTAGCTCTCTGGTCATAACGATTTCTAATATTCTTGATTTGAATTTTTTTTTCACTATGTACAAAAGGGTAGACTGGTTTCAAGGCGTATGCATGACACGTGTACTAATGTCATCAGTGATGACGTCAGGTGTTCGCGAAAAGGGCGTGTCCTGCTCTTCCGACAGCACTCACTCTTACATGACATTGTATGTTTCTACTCGATCTTAAACTTCATATTCTTCAATGTGTTTTCTTTTGTTGAAAGATGATTAATCGCTTTTAGATCACATTGGTAGCTAAGCATGTGTATAATAATTTCTAAGACGAGGTACAGTGGAACCCCGTTAATCCGCGCTGTGTACCTTCCCCACTGAAATTAAGGTATGATTTAGAAGTGCTGTAACTTTTATCATGACAGCCCTGGACGCTTGAACCATGCCAAAAGAAAGCTTTATCACATTTTCTTCCGGGTGACATGTTGTCAAATTAGAGCACGAACATCCCTTTTAATAACGTGATAAATATTTCCCTGAACACTGGTTATAACAAAGCTAACGTTGGTGGCATCTGGAAAGTGCTGAATAAACAACGGTTCTTAGATGTGACATACTGCAAACGTAGATGGTATGTTTGAACAGTTAATGTGTTTGCATTTTTACCTTTTATTCAGTATGATCAAAGCCAAAATCGCTTTTAAGCTCTTTATAGTTAGATTCAGATGCTTATAAATGAGAACTGTGATACTATGGGGAAACGCACAGCAGTGACTCATGTGTATATGTGTAAACATGACTTGATATTTATCAAACGTACAGTACATATGTTCACAGTAGCCTTAACCAACAACCAAATGCTTTCTACATTTAGGGAATATTTTTCTGTAAAGGTATGGTAGGTGCACCTAAGTGTTTAACACACAAAAATAATTCGTTCGCCCTTGTTAACTTTTTCATTGAACGTATGACGAATTCTAAATATGAAAGTGATAAAGTGATGCAAAAATATTCTTAATGTCGTCACTCTATTTTCAATGGCATGTATGTGAGTCATTTGGTGTTTGACTGATATGACTGTGATACTCTCTGTGATATCAAACGGTACCAAATTGGCATCGATGGTATCAGCACGCTCCTGTCTGTTTGGCCATAGCCTAATTAGTCGTTTGTTTGATGTTTAACACCGCACTCGGCAATTTTCCAGCTATATGACGGCGGTTTGTAAATCATCGAGTCTGGACCAGACAATCCAGTTAAAGACATGATGGACATCTGTCAACCTAATTGGGATACGATGACATGCATCAAACCAAGTCAGCGAGCCTGACCACCTGATCCCGTTAGTCGCCTCTTACGACGAGCATAGTCGCCTTTAGCGGCAACCATGGGTTGCTGAAGACCTATTCTAAGTGGGAACTTCGCAGGTCTCTTATGAGAAGGTTTTAGTAACAGTGGCAGAATTGGGATTTTGAGTATTTTTTCATGTTTCATGCCATACTTCCACCTATAAGTGAGTGACTACGGTTTAACGCCACCTTGACCATTGTAACAGCAACTTCACAGCAGAAGACACAGCATGAGAGATGTCCTTCGCACATGGTATCCACGTGGAGAATCAAAGCCGGGCCTTCGACGTGAAGAGCGAATGATTTAACCACAAGGCGAATGTAGTTCTTGAATGGACTATTGAATGCAGACACTTTACCCGAATCATCGCTTCAAACACAACCCTACAATAGAAATGTTGATCCTACCGATTACAGAGTCATATATGTTGTTATACGTGAACATCTATTGTGCATCTATTGTGGTGGCGGTCAGGTAGCCTAGTGCCGCTCGTCACGCCGAAGACCGGGTTCGATTCCCGACCTGGGTACAATGTGTGAAGCCCTTTTCTGGTGTCCCCCCGCCGTGATATTGCTGGAATATGGCTAAAAGCGGCGTAAAACCATTTACTCACGCACTTACTCACTAATATGTGGTAATAACGAGTAGTTCTAAATGTTAAATCATGTTTTCAACAGCGAATCATTACACCAAACTGCACAAAGAAAGTGTGATGACAGGGTTCACTTTAAGATTTATCACTGCGACACTAAAGTAGCATATACACTTCATAGGTATAATTAGAGGCTCAAACAGCAAATGTAACAAATTGTGAATGCAAACAATCTATCAATCATCTCTATCCATTTGTAATTCGTATTCGAACACGTCTTTGATACATATGTTTTTCTCTATTTGTCTCCTTTTATATGTATGTATATTCTGAATATTCTGAGTATGTATCTGAATATCACAATATTAAGTGATACACAACAGTAACTGTCCGATCTTCATCTCACGTAGGAATGTTATATAACTGAATCAAAAGCTGTAAAATGTAGACACCAAGGGATGGAGCTGCAGGAATATTGCTGGACATAATGGGAATGTTGTGAATGGAAGTTAAAGTTATCCCTCTTTTCAAACAGTGTTGTGGATAGTGCTTTGTCACTCTGAATCTTTATGCATAGATCTAAATATGAAACAGGCGAGGCGGTCTCACTGGTCTCCTTTACTTCTAGTTTGGGTTGGGTAAATCATGGGAATCAGGGACTTGGTTATTTGATGGTTGTTGAACGATACCAAATCATCGATATACCTGAAGCTTTAAAAGTTAAACTTTTGAGCTAAATTACCTTGTTTTGACTTTGCCAATCCAAGCAGAAATATTGATTCATATGCATAAAGAAACAGATCAGCAAGACGGGGAGAACAATTTGTGCCTAAATGTCTTCCCCCCTAAACAGTTTACATAGGTGTTATCAATGAGGCAGTGCAGAAAATAAGTGATTGATGACTTAGAGACTAATCACCTGGACAGAGGTGGAACGTTGGCGTTACATGTACTTAGGACACTACTGGTTGACTTGGGTTTATTGTATCAAAATATCTTACATTTGAATATTGTATCTTCTTGTTTCAGTGTAACTCTGCTGTTCATGGGCTTGTTCCAGGTCTTCTGCAGTATGTTGTTGAGAACGCGGTAAGACAGTGGAGAAGTGATGTCTTATGTATCCTTGTATACAACATAAGCATCTGAAGCATCATTAATTACAAATATAAACTGTCTGAATAGTAGGAAGAAAATAATATTTCTGTATGATACATATGAATCGATATTTTAAAAGAAATTTTTGGTATTGATTAAAATGTACATTTAAAATATGTGATTGTACAAACAAAATTATGCTTCAGGATCCGGAGGTCTTGTGTAGTTTTGCAATGTTGTGTCCTGAAAACCCATGGAATCACTTCACGAAGTAAACAAATGTCAATGTCAAAACGGTAATGAATTGTGTGAATCAGTCTGTCAGTATCATTATGTCATGATGGATTGGAACTGAACGAAAGACACGAGTGGTAATTAGCACATACTGGACGGCGATGCTTAAGCGAAACGAAAAATTGAAACCTCCGAGAAATGCGCCTCTCCATTCAATAGACACTCGCAGATGATGATACAACCATGATTAGCTAGTTATGTTGACCTGGATCATTGGGGTATTTGTGTTTCTGATATAAACTTGCAAAAATAATTGTTGATTGTTTTTACACAATGGTCCTTAATTCAATGCGTTATTAAACCAAACTTATTTACGTTTCATAAACATACACAAAATGGTTCCGTTTTCTTCCAGGGTGATGATGCTTGTACAGACTGCATTGAAGTCGTTGATAATTTCATTGCGAGTTTGAACACAGATGAAGTGAAGGTAAAACGCT